TCCCCACGAATTATTGAGGCCTTAAAGCATTTCTAAAACTAACAAAAATTAAGGTGATAGATATAAACATAGGAAAGCAGGTAAACTGACATATTCCTGAGGGTGCTGGAAATTTCTCCACTCTTTCTGGAGAGCAATCTCACAATATGTAACAAGCACCGCAAAAGTATTCCTGTCCTTTGACACAGTAATTCCACTTGGAAATATGCCCGCAAGGAAATAACTAAGAGAAAATGTAGTATGTTCAAAGACATTCATTGTAGTGCCATTTATAATCATGAAAAATTGGATGCAATCTAAATGCCCAACCATAAAAATGGTATATAAATCCTAAAACTGACAAGTATGTGATCTGTCAATATCACAGGTATGTGTTATGTCAATATGTGGAAATGTTTATATGAACATTTAAGGGGAAAAGCTGATACTTCTGCAAAAAGAGAACACAGAAGAAAGCAAACAGTAGAGAGTTGGAGTTTGCTTTCCTGAAAAGTTAATTTCCCAAATTTTTTTTTTTTCTTTTTCATGACCGGTAAGGGGATCGCAACCCTTGGTGCGGTGTCACCTGCACCGCGCTCAGCCAGTGAGCGCACCGGCCATCCCTATATAGGATCCGAACCCGTGGTGGGAGCGTTGCTGCACTCCCAGCACCGCACTCTCCCAAGTGCGCCACAGGGCCGGCCCAATTTCCCAAATTTTAAAAAGCTCCTCTGCACAGAACTGGTGTGTTTTCTAACAGAAGAAAGCAAACAGTAGAGAGTTGGAGTTTGCTTTCCTGAAAAGTTAATTTCCCAAAATTTTTTTTTTTTTCTTTTTCATGACCGGTAAGGGGATTGCAACCCTTGGTGCGGTGTCACCTGCACCGCGCTCAGCCAGTGAGCGCACCGGCCATCCCTATATAGGATCCGAACCCGTGGCGGGAGCGTTGCTGCACTCCCAGCACCGCACTCTCCCAAGTGCGCCACGGGGCCGGCCCAATTTCCCAAATTTTAAAAAGCTCCTCTGCACAGAACTGGTGTGTTTTCTAAGAGTGTTGTGAATAAGGCCACACGGGGAGAAAAACTTGTCCCAATTAGACTCACTTTCCGTGGATGAAGACGATCACTGGTGTTGTGAGATGGAACTGGAAGTCATTGGCAAGATACCAGGTCCAGCCATTGCACTAAAAAGAGAGAAGCGAAGGTTATGACATCTGTCCTTCATTGACCAGTTCTGCCCATGATGTCTCACCCACCTGGATAGGATGAAGGATTCAGGAGGTAGGTGGGGGAATTTCCATGGGAAGAGAAAGGACATTTGAGTCAGTTATTTCACATCCCTCCTCTCATCAATCCTTCTAACAAGCCTGGATGATAGAAATTATTATTGTCATTTTATGAAATGGAGATTCAGACAAGCTTTCTCTTTTGTTTTTGGTTTAAAGAGAAAAAAAAAAAAAAACTACAGACACAATAGAAAGAGAAAAAAAAAAAAACCATAATAGCTAATCTCCCAGGACAGTTGTGGGAATAGACTCCATCGTGTTACAGGAATGTAAGAGGTTATTACCATTACGGTGTGGTTGGAACTCAGAGGGGTCAATGTTTTTCCCCCCTGCCCCACCCCCAACTCAGTAGGAGAGAAAGTGTCCCTGCAGAATCAAGGCCTGGCTCCAGATGAGCTTTTATGGGAAACCCCAGAGTTCCCACACATGATTGACATGGGATCGTCTGGCCAAAGCCACATGGTTCCACAAACTGTCTGTGCATGTCTGAAATGAGGCAGTTACCTATATGTCTTCTTCAATGTGAGGAAATTCCTGGGGGCAATTCTCTCCAGGGCTAGAAGGCCTTGGCCCTTCTGCTTTCAAGGATCTAAGGTGCATTTTACCTCAAAAAGGCTACTGGCTCATGTCCTTGACACTGGTTCCCACAAATGGTCCAAGCAGGTCTGTGTCCAGGAAAGCAGCCCAGACTACCCACTGCAGACCCCTGCCACATACAGGCCCTCTGGGAGCGGGCCCCACCTGGAGGCAGTTAGCTGGTGACACTCACCCCATCCAAGCTGCTGGGCATTTGCAAATGGATGGCAGCCATCTAGCTGTACATGGTCATGTGCAATAATTAAGCAACACCATGCTTTGTAATTTTCTTTCCAGCCTCGCCTGTAAGGCATACATGGAATGGGTGACATAATTCATTCTAGCTATTTCACTTTCATTGGCTCCAAGTTCATTATGAGGAAATTAGGGCATTGAGGAAGCCACGACATATACAGATCCTGTTGTTCCGAACCAACTCTGTTGGGTCTGGCTTGAAACTGAGCAGCGTTCATTACGGTGAGGCGGGGGTGCAGGGCTCCACCCAGGGCAGGCTCTGGCACAGGTGAAGAGAGCGTCCTTCCCTGTGGGGGGCCGTGGACTGGCATGGGGACTGTGAAGGAGTAGCGTAGGCTGCCTTGAGACCGCACCCAGATGGTCGGCCCCTCACTGGTCACTGCTCTTCCTCCCCTGCCCCCACTTTGCACAGCAGCTGCACCCTGAGCAGACTGGTGTGGTCACACACCCCTTAGGATAAGAGGCCAGTCTCCCACCCACACCCCCCCTTCCTACAGCGTCGCTATTGCTCGGGAGAATATACCAGAGGAAAGGGGATCGGACTCAGGCTGGTACTTGGAAAGCTCACCAAACCACGTGAGTGAGACCCCATGTCTGCCCCCATTTGCCTTCCTAAAGGCAACAACTCGAGACTCACCGCATTCCGAATCGACACAAAGTCATTCAGCAACAGCAGATTTGTCCACCAAGCTCGTCGGCAGTTATCCCAGTGGAATTTGGGCACTTCCCAAACAAGTCCCCAGGGCACAAGAGAAAACAACAAACAAGCACACAGAATACACGTGAAGAGGTTGCAACATGTGGCAGGAAAGAGCCGGGACAGACAAGGTGACTCTCCTCAGGGTTCTGCTCAGTCCCCCCAGTGGGCACATGGCCAGTGGGGGACAAGATGCTCTAAAACAGACTGCATTGGTGGGCAGCCAACTTCCCACCCACCCCTCAAACATTCATGCATTTGTGAGTTCAAGGTCACTTATTGAGCACCTACCATGTGCCAGCTCAGGTGCTGCTGAGGCAAAAATACTGTTATTTATTGAGCAAGTCATATACTATATCAGCCTCTGTGCTAGGAGCTTTTCAGAAATTTCAAAACCTCCAAACAATCCTAGCAGGTAACTATTACCTCCATACTGATGAGGAAATTATGGTTCAGAGAAGTTAGGGTGGCTTGGCCGAGGTGGCCCGAACATGGAGCAGTGCTAAGTTCTGACATCAGTTCAT